GAGGGTTGCAATCCCGTGGCCGGTCCCGGTCCGGTACGGGCGTGACACTGAGGGTTGCGATCCGTTGCCGGTCACGAAAAAAGACAAAAAATAAATAAATAAATAAAACCACAATGCCATTATAATATTCAGCAAAATTGACAGTAATCCCTTAATATTTAATACCAGGCTAATGGTCAAGTTTCCCCACTTATCTAAAAATGTCTTTAAAGTTGGTTTGTTTGAGTCAAGATGGACACATTGTGTTTGTTGTCCTAAGACTCTTCTCATGTGGAAGCCTGCTCCACAACCCCCCAACCTCTTTTCAGGTAATTTTTTTTAAGAAACCAGGTTTTCTATGGAAGTTGGCTGCTGCTGCTTCTTAATGAAGTTGATGAACTTGTTCTTCTGAACCCACGTCTTAGTCTGCTCAGGCTGCCGTAACAAAATACTGGGTGGCTTATACAATAGAATTTATATTCTCACAGTTTTGGAGGCTGGAAGTCCAAGATCATGGCCAGTGGGCTTGGTTTCTGGTGAGGCCTTTCACCTCGGCTTGCAGACAGCTGTGTCCTCACATGGCCTTTTCTGTGTGTGCAAGTGGAGAGAGAATGTGAAGGAACACTGGAGTGCTCTGGTGTCTCTTCCTCTTGTTATAAGGACACCAGTCCTATTAGATCAGGGCCTCACCCTTGTGACCTCATTTAATCTGAATTACCTCCTTAAAGGCCCAGTCTCCAAATACAGTCACATTAGGGGTTCAACATATGAATTGGGGAGGGGTGGTGGGGGACACAGTTCAGTCCATAACATCCCGTGTTGCCTATAAACTGGTAAACTTGATTAAATTTAGATTTCATCTTTTAGGCAAGAACCTTTCATTGGTGGTGCTTTCCCACTGTTAATGATGTTATCAGTGTTTGTAATGGGCCAATGGATTCACGTAGTGTTAGCCTGACAGCCAAGTGTGTTCAAGGTGAAATAACAGGATTGAGCCAAGCATGGGATGTTTTTTAGCCACATGCGTACAATCCTGACTTGCCAGGGGCACAGGGACTGCTGTGTGCTGCCCAACTCCAGGGGGCACACAAAGCCCAAAATGGCTCAGGCCTGGGTTGTCTGCTTCCCTGGCCCATGTTGGAGGAGTTTGGCTACCAAGGTGCTGCTGCAGAGTGAGCGGGGAGAGTGCCCTGGGGAAGCCGTGTGTGCACCCCAAGTAGTTGTAGGAGCAGGAGCCTCCCCGCAAGGTAGGACATGGCTGAGGCCAAGGCTACCTGCTCACTACCAGTTTTTGCTCCTCTACAGCTGAGCATTGACAGTTGCTGGGGAGGCTCCTTCTACTGTCCCAAAGCTGCCTTCACAGCCACCATCTATGATGCCATCGCCACCGAGAGTACCCTCTTCATTCGGCAGAACCAGCTCGTCTACTATTTTACAGGCACCTACATCACACTCCATGAGAGCAACCATGGCAGCGGTGAGGGGGCCGTGGCCGTGGCCCACATCTGGGGTCCGTGACACCTCAGACAAGGGGACCTGCTGTTGGACTCCCAGAGAGGGCACCTCCATCAACTCATCCAGTAGAGGCACCTAAGACTGGAATTGTCATGGGTGGAGGGGGGAGGAGGGACTTGCCAAGGTCCTGAATCATCACCACCCACCCTGCCTGGGCCTTCCTCTACCCTCTCTATGCTGGTGTGAGGCTTCTACCCAGATCTTCCAGGTGGGAATTGGGAGCCAGCTTCCGAAAGGGGGTTGTGAAAATGAAGGGAGGGAGCAGAGAGAAACCGAGAAAGGCATGTGGGTGTGCACCCACAGAGTGGCAGAAAAACATACCAAGAGAAATGCAGAGGAGAGAAATTCAGAGAGAGAGGGAGAGGCATAGTGGGTCAGAAAGAAAGATGGAGAGAGAGAAACAGAAGGGCTTTTGGAGAGGCAAAGCCATGAAGGAGACTGATTAGAGAAGAAAAGGAGACTTTTGATTCAGCCTCATCTTTTTATTTTTTTTATTTTTGGGGTGGCTGGCTGGTGTGGGATCTGAACCCATGACTTTGTCAGCCTCATCTTTTAAATGATACCAAAGCCTTTCTGTCTCTTCTAGATTTTTTCCCTCTATCTAAATGAGAGTTGTCAGCTTATAGGGCCACAAAAAAGTGTACTGTAACTTACATTTCACTACTAGTTAGTGCATGTTCCCAACAGCTTCATTTTCTCCCCTTCTTTCTTAGGGCATTTTGACAGTGGGAGGAACCAAGTTAAAATTGGCTTAAGGCAAAGAAAAGAGGCATTTATTAGCCTATGTAGTGAATAGCCCAGAAGCATACTGGTGTCAGGCACAGTTGGATCCAGGGGCTCTCTGTCACTGTTAAACAGTCATCTCCTTGTGAATGCCATGGTGACTCCCACCCCCACCCGGCACTGCACACTTTTATGCCCCTCAGTAGTGCCAAGAAAGAGCATCTTTGTGAGTGGTTGCGAGCTGAAGCTGTCTCTGATTTACCCCGCTTAGTCACATGCCCAGCTCATAATCAATCACTCTGGCCAGGGGAGTGCAAGGGAGGGGCCAGCCTAATCTGAACCTCATGGACAGAGTATGGGCAAGGGGGGTTTTCTCAAAGGCAGCTGGTGCCCTCTGCCAAGGGCCCCCAGACACCACACTGAACAGGTGCTCCAGCACCAGAGGACAGATAACAGGCCCACTAAGGCCAGGGAAATTGGGGGGGGGGAGGGAGGGAGTGTCCCAGGCCCCATTCCACTCACCTGTACTTGAGGCCACATGGTGGTCCCCCTAGGCAGGTGGGTTCGTGTCCTGGCCAATGAATGCATCAAGATGCTGTGCCCTGTGCATTTCCATGGCAATGGCTCTGAGTACATAATGGCTCTCAGCGTTGGCAAGCAGGAGGGTTATGTCTACCTTGGGACAATCACAGGTAAGGGTCAGAGCCTCTGGCAGTCCAAGGGACCCCTCCATACCCTCTTGCCCCCAAGAATTCTGACCTCAGTCCTCACCATGTTCCCTCAGGAGGGGATCCAGGCTGGGGTTTGTCACTGTGTGTGGGGAGTAAGTGTATGTATTTGTATGAGCAGGGCTGGGTGTGTTAGGTATCTTTCATGATTTGTTTGGTTTCAAAGGGCAGAAGCCCAATTCAAAAATCATGTAAGCACAAAGAATTTGTGGACTTAAATAAAAAGACCAAGGTCCAACTTCAGGCATGGCTGGATCCAAGGACTTATGGGGTATGTCGTCAGGACTTGATCTCTTGACAAATTAGTATAGCATGGTAATTAATTACAGCACAGATTCTGGAGAGAGACTGCTCTATCACACCCTAGCTGTGTGGCTTTGGATAGGTGACTTGACCTCTCTGACCTGATTTTCCTCATCTGCAGAATAGGGCTAATGATAGTACTAGTGCCTACTTCATTAGGTTGATGTAAAGATTAAGTAAGTTGGTATATGTAAAGGTCTTAGAATAGTACTAGACACATGGGAGGGCTATAAAAGGGTTTATTATTATTTGCTGAATGATTTGGTTTCATTTCCAGGTAGACATGCCTCTCATGGGGCTTAAAGGGGCTCAGGGGTAACATCAGCCCCCAGTTTGAGCAGAATAAGAGCAGCCTCTTTCCCATTAGTTTTAACACAAGTTCGAGGGTGCACTCTGATTGGTCCACTTGGGTCACATGCCCAGACCTGAGTCGCAAACATACTCTGATATGCCAGGTGTGAGTTAACAGAAGGCCAAGGGTGAGATCTTCCTCCCGGAATCCCAAGGACAAAGGGGCAGGGAGGCACAGGGAGAACAGTCAGGGAGCTGGTTTGGTGGGGTACCAGACAGACTGAAACAGGCTGAGAAGGGCCTGAGCATGGACCTGCCTTGCTCTGCAGATGGCCGCGTGTCCTTTGAGATGCTGCCCAGGCGTGGGTCTGTGTGCAAAGAGCTACAAGGTACTCATCTCCCAGATGGGTTTGTGGCAGAAGGATGGGGAGGTTGAGGGTGTGGGAGAGCGGGAGAAGGGTGGGAGGGGTCATGTGGGTCTGTGTGCAAAGAGCTACAAGGTACTCATCTCCCAGATGGGTCTGTGGCAGAAGGATGGGGAGGTTGAGGGTGTGGGAGAGCGGGAGAAGGGTGGGAGGGGTCATGGCAAAGGGTGGACAGTGTCTTGGGGAGGGGTGAGGAGCTTTGGGGAGGGGCAATCACAAGGAAGGAGGTCCTGGGGCTGCTCTGATTTCCTCCTTCCCCTCTCAGTTGACAGCTGCTCCATAGTCTGGGCTGAATTCATCCCGGACAACTCCCAACTACTACTGCTGGTAGAGAGTGAATACCCCAATGCCAAGAAGAATTTCCAGGTGGTCAGCTACAACCCGGGTAATCAGTGAGACGCAGAGAGCTGGGAACAAAGGGGCGGGAGCCCAGGCTGTGGACCGTGTGGCCATCCTTAGGGATCTGTACCCATCAGGAGGGAAATGCTTTTCATGTCATTCCTGGATATGGGGTAGCTGTAGAGAACAGGGTAGAGGATTGGTAGGCTGGAGAAACCGAGAAGTCAGTGTAACTGGGACAGAGGGGAGAGGGTGGGAGAGATTGGAGAGGTGAGCAGAAGCCAGCTATGGAAGGGTCTGGAGACTCAATAAGATTTTAGTTTATCTGCAGTGAGAACAGGGCTACCATATACAGTTGTACAGGCTGTGCACTGCACAAAACCCCTCAACAAAGGAGTCAGAGGAGACAAGTCCTGTGCCTTAACAGGACTGTCCTCTCAGAGGCAGTGCCTTTTTAAAATTCTCATAAACACTAAGGGCTAGCAGGCTCAAGTGGGAAGCCTTGGAGGGTTTTATGAGGGGTTGGGAAGCTGATTACTTGCCCCAACTTCAGGTTTTGAAAGCTCAGGGCCTCAGAAGATTTTTCTGTGTTCTCCCAACCCATAGTCAGTGATGAGCTGAAAATCCTCTACAACATCCCAGAATTCATCCCTGACGGTAGGAGAGGAAAGCAAAAGTGGTTTCAAAGGTGGTGGGAGAGACCAGGAGGGACTCAAGTGACCTCACCTCACTGCTGTGTCCTCCCTTCCTCTGCCTTGGTCAGCACGAGGCTTGGAGTTCCTGATGATGCTGGGCACAGAGTCATACACCAGCTTCCCAATGGTACCCAAGGGCATGTTATATAATCCGTACAACAACATGCTGTTCATCTGGGGCAACTTCCTCCTGCAGAGGTGGGCCTCTGTCATCCCCCAGGCAGGCCAGGCATATTCTGCCTCTCCAGCACCGTTAGGGTTGGGGCCCTTTCTGAAGTCACCAAGCCTTCAGAGGATGTCCAAGCCCAGAATTTTTCAGGACTGTTAGGGGGAAAACAAGGGCTGGGGTAGTCAGGGCTAGAATGGGGAAAACCAATATTTTAAAGCTGTGGGAGCACTTTCTTAAAATGAAACCTTATAGGGCCGGCCCGTGGCTCACTTGGGAGAGAGTGGTACTGATAACACCAAGGCCATGGGTTTGGATCCCTACATAGGTATGGCCCGTGGCTCACTTGGGAGAGTGTGGTGCTGACAACACCAAGTCAAGGGTTAAGATCCCCTTACCGGTCATCTTTAAAAAAATAAACTAAAGGGCTGGCCCGTGGCTCACTTGGGAGAGTGCGGTGCTGACAACACCAAGGCCGTGGGTTCGGATCCCATATAGGGATGGCCGGTTTGCTCATTGGGAGAGCGTGGTGCTGACAACACCAAGTCAAGGGTTAAGATCCCCTTACCGGTCATCTTTAAAAAAAAAAATTAAAAAAAAAAAAACTAAAATAAATGAAACCTTATATAAGGACCCAACCTGTGTGAGCAAGAAAACATTTTCTGGGGACAGTTTAGGACCCTTTACACCTAGTCACCCTGTCATCCATCAGGAACCTCGGGACCCCGAGCTACCTGCATTCATGGGCAGTTGGCAAAATTCCAGTCGGCCCAATGCTTTTGTCTTACAGGTGGGGAGAGGGAGAAGGTGACCCAGAGGATTTGGGGTGGGGGCAGAAACTAGGATTCTAGGCTTCCTTTACATGTTCTCACAAGGGTGGTGGAGAAACTGAGTAAGCAATTCCTATGTTGCATTAGTCCTGGGGCTGGAAAAAGTAAATATCCAGGAGACTCAGCTATTTTGACCCTAGCTGTCTATCTCTGCTTCTGCAGCTTTAATGAGGAAACCTTCTTCTACCTGGCAGACTTCCCCAAGGAGTTGTCCATCAAATACCTGGTCAACTCGTTCCGTGGGGACATGGCTATTGTCACAGAGACCGAGGAGGTGCGCTGCCCTGTCCCTCTCCCCACTCCCTCTCTGCCCACCCCAAGCCCCAGGGGCCTCCCTTCTTCCCCATCAGAGTAAAGGGGCTCAGGGGAGGGAACACCCTCAGGGATACTAGGGAAGGGCAGCAGAAACTCCATTTATAGCTGAGAACCCTGGAACTCAGAGGATGTGTCTTCTGAAGTCATATAGCAAAGCAAAAGATCTGAGCCATGATCTGGTTTCTAAAAGAGGCCCCCTTTCATTCCACTGTGCAATTGTTCATTGTATAAATATTGAGCACTTTCTGTATGCCTCACCCATCGCTGGCAACACAGTGGTGATTGAGTCAGCTCTGGGCCCTGTCCTCACAGGGTCACAGTCCAGTTGGGAAGACAGACCCATTGCCAGACTGACAGTTCAGGGTGGTCAGGGCTACAGTGGGGAAAACAGCACCTACAGAAGTTCAAAGGAGTAACCTGTCCCAGTCTGGATGTGTGTGTGTTAAGGAGGGCTTCATGGAGGAGGCCACTGGAGGGGGGACATCCTGGAGGCTAGAGGGGATCCCTCAGGCTGAGGCTCAGGAAGGGGAGGTGAGGTCTGGAGTCAGACGTGTGGGGATGGGCATCAGTGCAGAGAGGGAATACTGAAGCCAGGGGAATGGTGAGACTTTGGAGGCTGCAAAGAGCGAGGGGAAGAAAAAAGTGGTCTTAGCCATAGGAACCCTGGCTTTTAGGGGGTGTACATGTTAGGAATATTTAGTTTTCAAGTAACAGAAACTCAAGTAGACTGAAGTATTGGAAAAAATCATCATGGCGGGTGGGGCCTGGAAGCAAAAGTGGTCGGGCTCTGGGAAGTAGATGGCACTACAGAGAGAAGGTATGGGGCTCACCTGGTCAGCTGGAAGTGAGTTCCCAAGCCTTACTCCTCAAACAACAGGCATCACACTGGGCAGAGGGACCAGACGTCCCCATGCCCTCACACACACATCTGGCTGTCGTACCCTCAGATCTGGTACTTGGTGGAGGGCAGCTACCAGGTGCACAGGCTGTTCCCGTCCAGGGGCTGGGAGGTACATGTCAGCCTACAGGGGATGCATCAGTCCTCTCTCTATGCCCCCAATGAGACCATGGTGACCCTCTTCTATGAAGACAACAGGCTGTACCAGGTACCAGGCAGGGGGTGTGTGGGGATATGGGGGCACCACAGAGTGTCTGACACCAGCTCACCTGGCCCTGACTTCGCCCTTCAGCTGGTGTACCTTATAAATGGCCAGCAGGGCCGGCTAGTCAAGAGGCATGTGCCTGTGGAAGAACTTCTGATGTACCAGCAGCACAATAGCCGCTACCACGTGGAACAACGAGGGTGAGAAGATACGGACAACAGCAGTAGTCTGAGAGCTCCAGGCACTGCTCTCACAAAGTTCCCATTCCTGGGGAAGACTGAGCCATCCCCAATGACAACCTCAAGGCTGTGATGGGGGGAGCTCAGCATCTATGCAAGCTCAAAGGAGGATCCTGACCCAGCCAAGGGGGAGGGTGCATCAGGGAGGGCTTCAAGGAGGAGGAGGTGCATGAACTGTGACCTGAAGGGTGAGGAAGAATTAGCCAGGTGATAAGGTGGGGGAGGGTGTTCCAGACGGGGGCAGCGTGTATGCAAAGGCCCTGAGGAAAGGAGATTGCATGTTCAAGAACTGAGAGTACTGTGCAGAAAGAGTGCAGTGGTGATGGGGGCAGGGGAAAGAGGGAAGGTGAGCCTGATGGTCTTAGGGAGGGATTTGGACTTCATCTTCAGAATCCTGTGGAGTCATGGATGGAACTAAAGGGAGGGACCACACGGTGAGATTTTACCGTGTTCCATAATCTTTCTGGTCACCTGCAGTGGGTGGATTAGAGGAACCCAGGGAGGCAGCTGGAGGTGGAGGTGGGAATAGGGGTAGGGGTGGGTGCAGGGACACAGCCACAGGGGCAGGTGGAACAAACGCTTGGGAGGTCAAGGACACAGGCGGGTGGGGACTGACCGTGGAGGTGGGAGGGACTCTGGTCTGAGGGACCGGCGGACGGCCATGGGGATGTCTCCAGAGCCATCTGGGCAGCAGGGACTGAAGCTGAGGGGGAAAGTCAGAGCTGGATTAGGTGTGGGGGGTCGGCAGCGCAGTGGTGGGAAACGCAGGCTGCGGAAGCTTTTGGTGTGCCGAGCGCGAAGAGTCAGCTGTCGTCCTCACTATCGCTGCCCAGGGGCCACCGGGTGCTCTCCTTCCCCAACCTCTGCCCCTTCACGGTGATAAGCCTGCGGAAGCTGCCCAACCCGCAGAGATACACGCGCCAGGAGCGATACCGGGCGCGGCCGCCGCTGGTCTTGGAGCGCTCGGGCTTCCACCACGAGAACTCGCTCGCCGTCTATCAGGGCCTCGTCTACTACCTGCTCTGGCTGCACTCCAAGTACGACAAGGTGGGCGCCTTGCGGAGGGCGGCGCTGGCCAGGGGCGGAGGGGGAACCGGTAGAGAGGGTCAGGCCTGTGGAACCGAGCGCGGCGGGACTGGAGAGTCGAGGCTCAGGGGGAGGACAGGGTGGAGGAAGGAAAGGGCTGCGCGGGGCCTGGCTGGAGCAGGGCTTCGGAGAGATGGCTTTGGGGGTCTGGCCGTTGGCCTGAAAGCAGGACTTGGGAGCGGGCCGGGGTTTGTATCTTCTGCTTTGGGTTAGGGGCTGGAACTGAGGCTAGGGAGGAGTCTGGGGATGTCGCTTGCCTGGGGACCGTCCTCCCTAGCCCCTCACGGTGTCCGGCGGTCCCTGTAGCCGTACGCTGATCCGGTGCACGACCCCACGTGGCGCTGGTGGAAGAACAATAAACAGGACGAGGTACGTGCAGGAGGTTAGGAGGCAGGGGAGTGGGGACGCCCGGACACCACTCCCTGTCGCCCCCGCCGCCTCGGCGCCGACTCGAGCCCGCACGTCCGGTGCCCCAGGATTACTATTTCTACCTTGCGAGCAACTGGCGGAGCGCGGGTGGCGTGCACATCGATATGGCCAGCTATGAAAAGATCTACGATCTCAAGTCCGAACACGAACTACCCGAGCGCATTTTCCTGGACAAGGGCGCCAGCTACAGATTCTCCATCTTCGTGACGGCGCAGGGCCACTCGTTCAGGCTGCAGACGAATCTCGGTCTGTGGGCGGGGCCTGGGCGCCACCAGACGCGCGGGGCTGATGCCGAGTCTGGGACCCGGCCTTGACCTCTCCCTCCGCCCGGAGCAGGAAACCCCTACCAGCTGAGTAGCCAGGTGGACCTGGGCGTGGTGCTGGCCGATCCCGACTGCTTGGAGGCGGTGGTGAGGCAGGAGATCCTTATTAATCGCAACTCCGTGCTGTTTTCGGTGAGGCCTGACGGCTGGGGGTGGGTGCCAAGTTGGGGGCGGTGGGGTCTGTTAGTCTATTCCTCAGAGTAGGAAACGGAAGCCCGCCGTTCTTCTAGCACCCTCCACCCCGGCCGGCCCCGGCTGTGGGTTATTTGAATCGTCCCTGGGGTCCTCGGGCAGGCCTGTTTACTCCTTCATTTCTGCCTCCGCCTACCCCCACTCTAGATTACACTCCAGGATAAACGCCTTTGCTATGACCAGGGCCTTAGTGGACATCACCTCATGAAGTCTTCCATGATGATCAAGGTGCGGTCCAAGCCTGGAGGGGAGGATGCGGGATGAGAGGAAAGACTGGGCCTGTGGGGACTACCATCTTCATCTGCTCCTACCCACAGGTAGTGGGTTCTTCTGGGCACTGCATCCAGAACACTCACCGGGGAGCCCGCATGCAAGTATTGGAGCTTGGGGTACTGGGCCCTATGCAGAGAGGGGAGGGGTTGGTTTGGGTCTGAAAACGGCTGATTCCCCAGTGCCCCGGGAGTCCCACTAATGCATTCATAATTTCCTTCCTTCTCATTTTCATTTATCTACCCTCCCACTCACCCTTTCATCCATTCGTGTTTTCAAAAAGGGCTGCCTTCCCAGTTGTGTAGGTTGCACAGAAGCTTGTATGTTCCTTCTGATTCTTTTCTACACAGGGATGTACAGTGTCTGAGAGACAGGGCTTCTTTTTCCAACTGGCACTCAGGTGGGACGAGCGCCAGCTTGGCCCGTCTTTCACCCGTTGCTCTTCATCCGCCCACTCAGTTGTCCTTTGTTCACTCTTTCGAACCCTCGGTGCTTCATTTACTTATGTGTGCACTACCCTCTTTGCATAGCGGCAGACACTGAGGCTCAGAGAGGTGCAGACATCTGCTCAGAGTAACTCAGGAAGCTACTACCAGGAAGTGGTAGAGGAGGGATCTGATCCAGGGTCCTTGGTCTCACCTACTTCCCTGCCCACTCACCAGCAGACAGACCTTGGTGCTCCCCCGGACCGGGACCGGCAACGGGACCGCAACCCTCGGCGTTGCTCCCGCGCCTCGCTCAGCCAGTGAGCGGGAACCGGTCTGTATGTGGGATCTGAACCCTCGGGCGGGAGCGCCGCCGCGCTTCCCAAGGGGCGCACTATCCAGTGCGCCACCGGGCCGGCCCCCAAAAGTATTGTTTTAACGCTAATGATCGTATTGCCCTTGGTAGTGAGGGTGAGCCAAGCAGTTAGTGGTGATGTGCGTAGTAGTGGGGTGTCCTGTCTCCCCAGTCTGGCGGGGCCTGAGGAGACCTTGGCCACCCCCCAGCACAAGGCTTTTCTCTTCCCACTCAGGGCAACATGATGGTGCCAGTGTTTATCGGCTGCCCCCCTGGCAAGCGCCTGGCCTTTGACATCACCTACACGCTGCAGTACAACCGCCAGCAGAACAAACACTACTTCGACTGCATACGTGTTGACCCCGAGATGCCCTGCTTTCTCTTCCGTGATCGTGTGTGTCCAGTGCCTTCCTCTCCATAGATCACTGCCCTCTTGCCCTCCCCGGCCTTCTCTCCCTGCCCGCTCACTTCCCCATGGTCTATCCTCTGCTCTTTCCCTCGGTCCTCCGTCATCTCTCCTTCCTCCCCTCCCAGTCCTCCACTTCTCGGGCCAAGCTAATTTCTTTTCCTGGTCTCAACCCTCTCCAATTCCATAGTTTTCTACCCCTTCTTCTTGATTCAAGATTTGGTGACGGGAGACTCCGGCAGTTTTCAGGGCAGGTACAGGCGTGGCCAGCCTGCGGCTAGCGGGGTGGGAGAGTGGGAGTTGGGACGCAGACCCGAGGCCGGTCCGTGCGCACTTCTCCTCCCGGCAGCTACGTGCTGAAGGTGGTGGGCGGCGGGCCCACGCTGGACAGCATCAAGGACTACAGCGAAGAGGAAATCTACCACTTCAACAGCCCCCTGGACAGGTAACCCCCGCGTGGCCCCGTCCCTAACCTGCCTGCCTTCCCCGCAGGCCCCTCCCACTTCCGAGCCAAGCGGATTCTCACCCTTATGCGAGCCCCACCCACCTCGCACCTGGGTATCTCCAGCCCCGCCCACAGCAGGACTAGAAGCCCACAAACTCCCGCCCCACCTGCCCCGTGAGGCCCCCCCCGCCCAAGGCTCCGCCCCTGCCCTCTTGATCCTCAAGTCACTCTGACTACCTGTGTTCTTCAAATGGGGCTAACCTTAGCACACGCTGAACCCTCCGTCTGGAATGCTTGTCCTTCCTACTCTTTCTTCAGGCCTTAGTTGAGATGCCCCTTCACCCAGGAGGACTTTTCTGACTGTTTCAGGATGGGAGAGTTGCCCCCTCTTGGTTCCCATGGCCTCCTATTCCTCCCAATCTCGGTCCTGACCCCTCTGCTTCTGTCTCCACCATCCCAGCCCTGACCCCTCCGCCTGTGCCTCCCCATCCCATCCCCGACCCCTCTGCCTGTGCCTCCCCATCCCATCCCCGACCCCTCTGCCTGTGCCTCCCCATCCCATCCCCGACCCCTCTGCCTGTGCCTCCCCATCCCATCCCCGACCCCTCTGCCTGTGCCTCCCCATCCCATCCCCGACCCCTCTGCCTGTGCCTCCCCATCCCATCCCCGACCCCTCTGCCTGTGCCTCCCCATCCCATCCCCGACCCCTCTGCCTGTGCCTCCCCATCCCATCCCCGACCCCTCTGCCTGTGCCTCCCCATCCCATCCCCGACCCCTCTGCCTGTGCCTCCCCATCCCATCCCCGACCCCTCTGCCTGTGCCTCCCCATCCCATCCCCGACCCCTCTGCCTGTGCCTCCCCATCCCATCCCCGACCCCTCTGCCTGTGCCTCCCCATCCCATCCCCGACCCCTCTGCCTGTGCCTCCCCATCCCATCCCCGACCCCTCTGCCTGTGCCTTCCCATTTCTGCCCTGATTGCTCTGGGAAAGATCTTCTAATGTGGTGTCTCATGCAGGTGACAGCAAGATCTCGTGGCTTCTGCTGAGGCTGTGGTCTCACTGAGGTGCCTGATGCCCACCCCTTTGTCTCTCTCCACAATCTAGGTGCAAGGTGCTTAACCTCTCAGTGCCTCAATTTCCTCATCTGTAAAATGGCATAGTAACAGTGTCTACCTCTTAGAGCTGTGGGGATTAAAAGAGGATTACTATGTGTAAAGCACTTAGTATAGTACTTGGCATATAGAAAGTGCTGTATAAATGTTAGCTACTGCTAATTTTGGTATAAGTGTTAATATTAGTGGTCGGTCTCTTTAGGGCTCCACTATCAAGATGAATTAACTCTGTTTTCAGTCCGCCTGTCACTCAATTCAATAGGCAAAGTCCCAGGACAGAATCTGATTTGTTAGCTAAGGTCCTGGGCCTGCACCTCAATCTTGATTGACAGTCCTGCTTTGACTGTATCTGCTGTGGCCCCAGTCCAATCTCAGGAGTGGTGACTGTTTTGTTAGTGGGGTCTGGGTGTGGCAGGCCAGGTGCCAGGACACTGGGGTCCTGCTCTGACTGACCTCTGTCCCACTTCAGGTCTCAGATTCTCCACCAGGGGAGGATGACATGGAGGGCTCAGCAGCTGGGGACCTGTCAGGTGCAGGGTCTGGTGGCAGCTCTGGCTGGGGCTCAGGGGCCGGTGAGGAGGCAGAGGGCGATGAGGATGAGAACATGGTGTACTACTTCCTGGAGGAGAGCACGGGCTATATGGAGCCTGCCCTGCGGTGCTTGAGCCTGCTGCACACACTGGTGGCCTTTCTCTGCATCATTGGCTACAACTGCCTCAAGGTGGGCCATGGCCATGGTTCTGGGGTAGGGGGGCTTGTGGAAGGGAAGGAGGTGGCTGAGAGGACGTGGGACAGGGGGTCCTCACAGTGGCTTGGACAGAAGGGACCTGGGTTGGGATACAGGCTGGGAAACTGGGTACAGGATTGGGGTCTTCAGCGAGGATGATATTCAGAGTGGGAACTGATGCAGATCATAGCCCATCCCATCCCTGACCCCTCTGGACTGTCACCATCTAGTGTGGAGTCTGTCTCCCTTACAGGACCAGGTCCTGAATAGACTCAACATAGTGGTTTTTAATTTAATTAAATTAATTAATTAATTATTTTTTAATATAGTGTTTATTGAATGAAAGAATGAACAAATGAATACATTAATTCATTGTAGGCATTTATTGACATTTGAATGAAGATATTAATGAATGTTAAAACAATGGAGGAACAAACTAGTATATAGGGGCTCAATAACTATTTGTGATTCAGTGGAAGAAAGAAAATGATGCCGTGAGCAAGTGGAGGCAGTGAATGAATGAACAAATTAACCAACTTGCACCTAGTCAGTATTCAACCTGTTTATTGGATAATGAATAAATGGAAGAATATCTGACTTTACCTAGTAAGTGCTCAAGCTGTACTTGTGGAATGAAGGAATGAAGCAGTAAGGAATAAATGAGTTGGCACATCATAGGTACAGTCCATAATCTGGATGAATGCATAGTAACAGATGACTTGACAGACGGAGGCACGAAGGCAGTAGGAAATGAACGAGTCGACGGCCTTTTGCATGGTCGGCATTCAGTCAGCTTTACTGGATGAAAGAAAGGAGAGAATGACGGGGTATGAGATCGCACCTAGTTGGTGCTCACTCAGAGTGCGTGGCGTGGAGGAAGAAATCAGAGCTTGGTACATACGAGGCATGGTTGGTAGCACAAGTGCCTGAACTTGGGCTCCCAGGTGGCTGTGTCTGGAGAACTCTCCATGTTACGACGCTGTTCCCCAGAGCATCTTCGCCCCTGAATTCTTCTTCAAGGTGCTGGTGAGCAATAGGTGAGCCAGGCATGTGGTCCAGGTGAGGGTCGGGCACTTCCCCTGGAGTGCCTGACTACTGCCCTGATCCTGGAACCCATCCCCCACCAGGGATGTGGACAAGAGCACATACTGCAACTACGAGCTCACCTTTTTGCTGCACATCCATGGGCTCCCACTCAGTGCCAGGCGGGCCCTCTTCATCGTCATTGTGAGTGGCTGTCCCAGGAGCTGCCCTGCTGGGTGGGCAGGGGGCCCCCAGGCTGCCCTCCCCGCCATGTCTGTTGTACCTGCAGGTGTCGGCCAGTGTGTCTGTGGGCCTGGTGACCCTGTACATCGTCTTCTGCCTCCTGTGGCCCATAATGGTGAAGGCTTACAACATCCTCCGCTGGAAGATTAACAACCTCGTCATCTCAGATTCCTACTCCACCTACCTCACTCCTTCTGGAGTCTTCAGCATGCCCTCTCAAAGAAGTTTCAGAATCAACTCCAAGGAGGCAGAGAACAGGGCTGAACCCAAGGAAATCTTGGAGAAGTGGCTGACCTGAGCCTCTTGCCAGCCCCAACCCCCGCCCACCTTCCCACCTCTTCTACTAGGCCTGCCTTGGAAATGCATCCTGTCACCCATCCCAGGCCTTTCTGTTTTGCTTGAATGTTCATTTCTTGTTCGTGCCTAAATAAAACCTCCTGAAGGACCAGCTGTGGGTCCTCATAAGGGTTCATGTTCAGTTGATTTGTACCAGCACAGCTGCCCAGTTCATTAAAATGTCAAAATCCTTCCATACCAGCTGGCAAATAGCAGTTTCCCTGTATGCCTGTCAGTTCAGCCCCTCCTCAGGATGCCCCAGACCTCCCTATGGTCCAACAGGGCCCTCCGCAACCCAGGCCCATTGCTATGGGCTACAATCTGTTCTGATTGTTTAGTGCTCTGGTTATAACAGTTAATTTTTTTTTTTTTCAAAAGATGACCGGCAAGGGGATCTTAACCCTTGACTTGGTGTTGTCAGCACCACACTCAGCCAGTGAGCGAACCAGTCATCCCTATATGGGATCCGAACCCGGGGCCTTGGTGTTATCAGCACTGTACTCTCCCAAGTGAGCCACGGGCCGGCCCAATATTTTGAATGTCAACACCTATCTTGTGGCTTAAGGAGGAGACTCTGGAGAGGTTAGGATTTTTACTTTAGTTGCAAGTAGCAAAAATTTCATGCAAATGGTCTACATAGCAATGGTAATTTATGGGCTTTGTTAGTATAGGCTTCAGGTAGAATTTGATCCAGAAGTCCTCAGTGCCTGCAGGATTCTGGCTCCATTTCTCTGTAGGTTTTCTTGCTCTGCCCCCCTCTGAATGTGGTCTCTGACCTCAGGGCAACCTCTCTGACCATCTGAGGCTGCACAGCTACATGTCATATTGTCCAGAGAAAGAAGGAGTTGGGGTCTAACATTCCTAGCCAAGAGTCCTGTCAGTCACTCTGATTGGATGGATTTAGGTCACAAGACCACCGCCCTACCAGTCACACTGCCAGAGGGATGGAAACCTCGATTGGTTTAAGTCAGAGCCCACTCCTGGAGCTGAGGGCAGAGTCGGTCTCTCCCTAATCTCCTGCTCTTGCGTCGGGGAGGGTAGTTCTTATAAGAAAACTTCTTTGAAGAGGGAAAGGAGATTGGATAAGCAAAAAGTAAACATGGCTTTCATACTCCACCCCCTGTTCACACAATAGTCTCAGCTGCGGCTCTTCCCCATGAGTCTTGGGTGAAGCAACTATGGAGGTCCCCTGACCACCTCCCCTTCCTACTCCATTCTAGGAGTTGAGGCACAAGGGACACCATGATAGACAGTTGGACCATCTTGTCCATGATGAGACAGCTGAACTCCAGAGCAGGCCAGACTGATAAGGTCGTGTTGTGGAACTTGGGGGTCATCAGGGGAGCACTCAGAGCTGAGAAGCCAAAGGACATGGGCAGATGTAGAAAGATGCTCCTGGACACCCTGTAGAGGATGATTCAGGATTGGAGGCAGAGATCCCAAGAAGGCAGTGGGGCAGGGACCTGGGCAGAAGAGAACGGGGCTGGACCAAAGCAGGGAGGAGAGGAGGGAGCAGATGGGAGAGATGCTCAGGAGGCTCGGTTAACAGGCTGTGGGGCTGGCAGGCCATGGAGAGAGTGGGAGTGAGAGAAGCATTTGGGAAAATGCTCAGGGCTCTGCCCTGAGAACTGGGGGACAGTGGGGCTATCCCCAAGATAAGAACCAGGGAGAAGTAGCAGGTTTGGGAAGATGCTGAGGCCAGTTGGGGTTACAGGGATGTGAGGGGTTTGAAAGACTCCTAGAGGAAGCCATCCAGGAGGCTGGGGGAACCCAAGATCTGGGGCTGAGGAGGGAGGTCAAGGATGGTCAAGCAGTATGGCACAATGGTTAGCAGTAGACTCATCTGTCAACAAAACTAAGTGCATCAATGATTTAAGGGAAAATGTGATGATATAATGTCGTGTTTTGATCCCTTTTCTTGGACTATCTCCAGTAATCCTCAGGATGTTCTAGCAGAAGCATTCTACCATTATACCCATTTCACAAATAAGGAAATAGAGTTGCAGCTGTGCAAACATATATTACATAAATAGGTGCTCGAGAAAGGCTTTTTCTAAAATTCAACATCCATTCCTTATGTAAATTCTAAGTCAAATAGACATAGAAGGAAGCTTCTTGAACACAATTACCAAATTACCTGATTACCAAAGACAGATGGCACATGGCATATGATGGTCAAATGCCAAAGTCATTTTCATTAAAATTAGGAACAAAACAGGAATGACTTCTCTCACCAGTATTTCCAACATTGTCTGTGGAGGTTATAGCTCATTTAGCTTCCACAAAACATCAAAGACAAGAAAAAGTCTCCACAACACAGTTATATATGAGTCTTTTCTCAGCACAGCTTCCACAACACAAGTAGATATGAATCTTTTCTCAGCACAGAGGGGAATTTTGGACCTGATTTTGGCTACAGCTTCCACACAATATGAAAGACAAGGAAAAAAAGACAACTCTACACATTGGAAAATAAAAAGCAAAAACTATTTCTATATGCAGAAGAAATATCATGTACCTAGAGTTTCAAATATACAGCTGTAAGAAAAGAAATTCAGATGAGTTAAGACAATTTGAAAAGGTGTCTGTATATAGAGCAACTGTACAAAAATTAATAGCTTTTCTTGATACTAGATTTATTTATTTATTTAAGATACTAGATTTTTTTTTTTTTTTTTTTTTTTTTTAAAATTGCTCTTGGAAATGCAGTCAATACTCTGGTATCACAGCACACAGCTCTCAGGATTGCGCTGTTTCCTGACGCGGGCGCTCCAGACCCCTTAAAACAATTTTTAAAAGATAATACATGAGAGAATGATTTTCAAGACACTGAACACCATGCAGTGAAGGACAGTGACCTCTGAGAGTCAGGAAACAAGAAGGTGAGTCCTAAAGATGCCCTGGCTTACTGCCTTGAGTGAGTGTGCAGGCCAAGGTACATCGTATAACTTCGTATAATGTATGCTATACGAAGTTATTACGCCAGTGAGCGAACCGGCCATCCCTATATGGGATCCAAACCCGCGGCCTTGGTGTTATCAGCACCGCACTCTCCCGAGTGAGCCACAGGCCGGCCTAGGATACTAGAATTTTTTAAAGCTCAAAGTGAAAAAATAAAATTTGTCCAATTCACAATAGCCATACAAACTACAGAATACCTAGGAATAAATTTATCTGGAGATGAAACACACACAGACACACACACACACACACAAATCAAGAAAAGTCCATGAACTCCCTGAAAGATGGTAAAGCTTGACAAAAACAAGTGATTGAGAAGATATGTATTCCTAGACCGGGGGGTTCACGTACAGAGTTGTCCAGAGGATGTCTATGAACATTTGCAAAAATGTTCTAAGAACAACAGAAGTATGTATGAGTCTTTTCTCAGCACAAAGGCAATTCTGGACCTGATTTTGGCTAGCAGCTTCCACACAACATCAAAGAGCAATCAGCTCCAAATGACAGAAAAACTTACCAAACTGACGATATCCAGAGCTGGCAATACTAATGTGTGTAAGGTGTACTGGCTAAGGATGTTCCCACAAAAGTTGAGAAATTCTGTACCCTGGTACCAGGATTCTATCAGGTCACCTCATGGTCCAGATGAACACATCATAGTCAATTTTTTGTTGTTGTTTTTTTGCATCTGGCTGGTTAGGGAATCCAAACCCATGTCCTTGGTGTTATAAGGCTGAGCTCTGACCAAGAAAGCTTTTTTTTTTTCTTTTGGTGGCTGGCCGGTATGGGGATCTGACCTTGGATTATGAGACCTCGCTCTAAACAACTGAGCTACCCGGCCAGCCCAGAACACATCATAATCCTGTATCAGCCAAATCAACATGTATTTTAAATATCACCATCTCCATTTCTGGCCAAGACAGAGTAACAGGGACTGGATACCCTCATAATCAAAACAATTTTTATTTTATTTATTTATTTATTTATTTATTTATTTAATTTTTATTTTGTCAATATACAATGTAT